CATTTGCACTTATGGGAAAAACAGTTCTAAGCCTTTAGACACGTACATGAAACTTGCCCAAAGCAAAGATTTCCTCAAACTTCTCTCCTTATGTTCAGCATCTTTCCTGGCTTTTTACTGGCCAGAAACCAGGACAATTAATAGAAGGAATCCATAGCAAAGGTAGAGAAGAAGGAAAAAACAAACCAAACAAAACCCACTGCCGTGGAGTGGATTCTGACTCTTAGTCACCCCCACTGGGTTTCAAGGTGGTAAATCTTTATGGAAGTAGATTGCCCAGTCTCCCTTCCGTGTAGTGGCTGGTGGGTTTGAACCACCAACGTTCTGGTTAGCGGTCAAATGCCTTAGGCACTGAGCCACCAGAGCTCCTTTAGAGAAGAACAGGATATGTTATAGGACTTCTGGCATATTTTCTTGTGATAGAATTGAAAATCTGAGGAACATGATGACAAGGATTTGGTTAGCAGGAGAAGGCATCAAAGTTATGCCAGAAAAGGCATCACACATCATCAAGACAAAACTTTCTTGGTCACTTGCACATAGCCCTGAGGACCTAAGGCTTCCTCTAGCAATGAGGACTTCCAGAAGGGTCTGGCTTGTTCCTCACAGTAGTCAGAGCATGCAAGGAGAGGTGAGAGAAGGCTGAAGGGAAGCTGGATGGGGCTGGTGAGGACAAGGGCAGCAATGGTCAGAGAAGACTCTGATGGCCACCTCCCTGCAGTAGATTCTGAATGGTTTGAGGGATCACTACTGAGAGAAGTCAAGACATGTTCTGTGCTATCTCTGGGTTTCCTGTGGGTCCAGCTCTGAGCCTATGTTCTCATAACCGGCTGCACCTGTCCCCTTTCCAGAAGTGGCAGCCTCCCCATCTCTCTGCCCGCCTCAACCTTGAGTTTCTGGATGCCTTCTCTGCCTGCTCCTTGAACACAACTTCAGCTCAGGTGCCAGCTCTTACCTCTCCCTGCAAACCTCACTCCTCTGTCCAGCCCAGGATCCAGGCCTTCTATTTCCCCAGAACCCTTCTACTCAAAGTATGATGAGGGGTTCCTGGGGAGCCTCTCACAGGCCCCTGCTCCTCCCATAGATGGCAAGACTTTCTGATCATTGCGATGTTCCAGCCCCTCCACTAAGAACTTTCTATGTATTATCTCACTTAATCCTCAAAACAACCCAGTGAGAAAGGTCCTATAATTATGCTCATTTTACTGATGAGAAAACTGATTCTACAGGGAGGTTAAAAGCTGGTTGAAGTTTACATTATGGTGGGTTGAGAGCCCAGGTCTAATCCCAGTCTCCTCCTGGGTGGGAGGTGAGAGGCCTATACCTCCGCCTACTTTTCTTACTGGCAAGAGCAGTCCCTACGGCCTCCCCTTCCACACCAGTGCATATGTGCACAGAAGTGTGCAAGAGAGAGAGCACTTGACTGTCAGATTCCCACCAAGAGGCGGCCACTTCCTCTCCAGCAAATTCACTGAACTCTTTGTTCATTCTTTTATCTCCACCAGGGCCTCCTCTGTCCCCCTCGCCGGGGAAGATGCTGAAGGATCACTAGAGTTCCTGTCTCTGGGAGTGCAGCCCAAAGCAGCTGTGGCTCTGTTACCCACCTCAGCTATCCACCCCGACCCCGAGCCTGCCTTCCTGAGGCAGACGTCACATGAATGGAGGACACAGCACATCCAGGAATTACACGGATGCCATTAGACCTAGTTGAGGTCTCTGAACTTCTGGGAAGAAGGCCTGAGCTAGATGAGAGGCAGGCCTGGCTAGGGTGTGGTGGGGCGAGCAGCACATGCTATCTGAGGGGAGAACGGAAAGGGATGCCATGGACCAAAGGCTCACTTCTGCCTCCTCCGACCTGACAGCTTTGGACTTTCTTGACTCCTCAGCCAAAGTAGGCCCAGGAGAGCCTGTGGAGACAAAGCTTGCATTTTCTCCACCATTGCCTAAGTGCCACTGCCCACCAGGTGTGACACCAGGCCTGGTTGGTACCCAGGTGAAGAAGAGAGGAGCCCCACCTTCATAATACACTCATTGACATCCCTTCTTTCTCTCTGCACCTCCTCTCCTTGCTGTTCAGCCTGTCAGCAGCCCCTCCCCAGCCTCTGAGTAAGCAGCTGATGGGGCCAGGGTGGACGCAGTGGGGCCACAGCAAGCGTCACTGAGTCAGAGCCAGCCATGGAAGCCGCAGAGGTGCCCTGAGAATACAAACCTGCTAATGAAGTGAGGGTTCAAAGGGCAAGTGTCTTTCCCTGAGGATGAGCTGAGAAGGCAGATAATGACTGGAAAGAAGGTGGCAGCTTGTCCTCCCTGCTCTGTAGCGAAGCCGAAGCCGCTTATTAGTGTGGATGGAGGGTGGGCTGGGGGCCTCTTCAAATCAAGGAGTGTCACAAGAGCCATTGACTAAGGCTCACACAGAGGGGCCGTGAATTTCTTCAGAGGTGGCAGGGAACGTTTTGTTTGGGTTTCAAAGGGGTTTAAATGAGGTCACTGACCCATACTTCCTGCTACCCATGATCACTAGGGGTGTGAAGAGAGTGGGCAATCTGGATACGTAGGTCACTGGAGACCCTCATTTCCTCGCAGTTGGCCAATTGCTGAGGCTGGTGGACTGGGGAAGAGACAGCATCCAGAAGGTTGCCATCCCGCCCTTGGGAGGGGCTGAGAGAAGCAGAAAAGGGAGGAAGTGAGGGAGGCTGCCACTTCTGGAAGGTGCAGCCTGTTATGGGAACACAATCTCACAGATGGGTAAGCCTAAACCCATAGGAAACCCAAAGATGGCACAGAGCACTTCTCTCGGTGAGTGGTCTCTCAGGTCATTGAGAATTCACTTCATGTGGGAGGCCACCAGAGCTTTCTGTGACTACTGCTGCCCTTGTCTTCACCAGCGCCACCTAGCTTCCTTTCAGCCTTCTCTCACCCCTCCCTGAGGGCTTTGCCCACTGTGAGGGACAAGCCAGACCCTTCTGGGAGGCACATGGGCTGTACTAGAGCTG